GGTTAATTTCATATCTTGGGTATGTGGAAAGCGCTGGGATAAACACACATGTGCAGGTGTCTCTGCTGAGTTGATTTCACGTCCTTTGGATAAATACCCAGAGCTGGCTTGTATAGTGGATCTACATTTAGGTTTCTGAGAAACCTTCATAAAGCTCAGCAGCCTAGCTACACTCATTTACCTTCCCACCATAGGGTGTAAGTATTCCTTTTTCTTCACCTTCTAAATAGAATTTTTTTTCTTTTCAAAGTTTTATTGATAAACATATAGCAATGAGACAGTTTCAAATCAAATCGAAAGTACAGTTTCAACAAATAATACACTGCATACATTCTTCCTAGTGGTTAATTGCTGTACAAGATGCAGACTTGTGATCCTACTTACAAACACCATTAGAAAAAATCATTCTATTCATTAAGAGAATGCAACTATATATCTATCCCAACCACTTTGAATACACAGATACAAAATGGACATTCATAGTTATACCCCAATTTTTTTTAAGTTCCGTTGTTGAACATTATAGGTGTGTAAACTCAGCAAAATATTCTAAAAGAGTACAGAAGCCCATAATATCATTGGGTCTTCTGTTTAACTGGCAATGTCAGAAATTATTGACCTGAGTCCCCCACAGCTCAACATAACAACATGGCTTTACTTCCTATATTTCATCTTCATACTTTTCTACTGGATGGTTAAGACCAAGGTAAAGCAGGACCTGTGCAACAAGAGTTGTAGCTTTTTGGTCTGACAAGGTCTGTGAAATGCCCTCAGGATTTATCTTGAGATCCTGTACCTCAGATTGTAGAACCTTTGTCAGTGTCAGCCATGTGGATGAGTCACGGCCAATGCTTGGCCAATGTGCTCTCTGTGAAAGCCTGAGAGAGTGTCTTCTCCCCATGTGACTCTCCTTAGGCACACTCTACGTCATCGATCACTTTCCTCTTTGGCCCCATTATCTTCTTGATCAGAAAATTTGGGACACTACCGAGGTACATGACGTTACAGTACAAGTTCTCATGTGTCCTGAGTCTTAATTGCCCTTAGAAGGGTAGGGCCAAAATGTTGGCTTTCCTTGTAGCCCTCCTTTTTCTCTAATTTTGGTCTGCAAACTTAGGTTGTTAACCATCCAGAAGACAAGCTTATTGTTATTATCAAATGATTTACGCTATCAAGCTTAACCTCACTATCTCACTGCATTTCAAACATCTTAGGCATAATAAGGAACAGGTATTTTTCATCAAGTGTTGATATGTTGAACCTTAAGTCCCTACATAATATGATAAAGAACATTTAAAAATTAGATTATATTTTAACAATAGGATAAAGAATTCTATGCTTCTCATGTTTGCACATAAGTCCAAAAATCTCACCATATACAACCTTGAAGCAGGACTGTCCCACAGTATTCCTTTTCCTGTGTCTTGCTTTCATTCACCACCCCCTTCTTAGTGTTTTCCTTTGACTAAAGTGAATAATGAGCATCTTAGCCATATTCTAGCACATGCTAATTATTGAAAACCTCATATAGTGTACAGTTCAGGGCAGCACAAGCCACTGCCTAAATATGTGAATACTCCCATTCCTAGCTCATTACCTTCATATAATAATTTAGTTACCTCTATGTCACTGATAAAATATATAACTTACTCATCATAATTTAGTAATACAAAATTTTATTAAGCTATTTCAAGTGTGGATGCTAGTAGTAGGTCACTGTATTAGGTTGCTAGGGGGAAGTTTGAGTTATATATGTTGCCTTATTCTAAATACACTAAAAACACGGTCTTATAAACTTTTCTTTATAAAGTTTATTTCATTTTTTCCATGTGTCACATTTCTCATTCTGTTCAGCATCCCAGGGGCCATTTGCTCCATTACTTCAAAGTCAGCAGAGAAGCACATTTGCTGCACCGCACCAAGTGGAAGGCAGAACGCCATCCACCGGGGCTTGTAGAGAGCTCCGTTCTTCCTGCACATAAACTTTCCACTCGTTGCCTTTTAATGTAGAGGCCTTATCCTTTGGGCCCTAAAAGTAAGCACGTATTATTTGTAAGCTCATTATTATTTAAGTGTCCTTAATACCTTCAGACAGTTTGTCTTTATCCCACTGGTAAGAAAACTAAGCCTCAGACATTAATTGAAATTAAGCCTTTGATTCAGAGATACTATGAAGAATTCAAAGATGAAGAAGATATTGTCTTGGTCCTCAGAAGTTTGTGTCCTAGCAGAGTATTTAAAAATTAAACATGGACACATTGGTGGAGCCTGGACACAGGTGTGGGCACATGTACAGCATGTACACACACACACCCTCTAAATCAAAGGGTAGTATTGTATGCATGTAAAATTTTAGCTCAGCAAACAAGAATGTCTGAGAGTGTCCAGGCAAAGGTAAGTGTGGTACTGACTATGCTCATATGGACTCTGAAGTGGTGTTAGCCTGTGTGCACTTAGGAATCAGCAGCAGGACCCAACATCCTGACTGCCTAGAGTGAGGAGTAGAGCAGGCAAATCAGACTCCTCATGAAATCCAAGAACCATGAAAGTAGTTAGGATTCAGAAAAGAAGGGAAAGTGACTTGGACAGGAACCATCAGAGGCGCCTGGCACCTAAGTCCCAGTGGGCTCCAGAGGTGAGCGCAAGGACCCAGGTGGGGACTGGGAGGCCCTCAGACTCCCGCAGAAGGGTTGGCCCTTTCTGGCACCATCGTTGCCCTCCCTGCTTCCTAGCATTAGGACTTTTCAGTGTGCATTTAAACTTGCATCACGGAGGAGTCCTCTGGGCAGAGTAACTAAGACACAGCATGCCAGAATGGCTGCTTTCCCCAGCTGTAGCCAGTTACAAAACATTGTAAGCAGTAGCAGATGCCCTCTCTTCATGAAATTTTAAATATTTATTTACTTACTTATTTTGTGGGACTGGGGTTTGAACCCAGGGCCTTCACCATGAGCTATATCCTAGCCAGTTTTTTAACTTTTATTTTGAGACAGGCTCCCTCTAAGTTGCCCAAGTGTCCCTAAACTTGGGATTTTCCCAGAGTGCTGAGATTCCATCATCAGGCCCAGTTGTGCCATCAGGCCTGGCTTTTTTTGATCATAAATTATAAGAATCAGAAAGAAAATTTCTTAAGTGTTTAACAAATAATTTTATAGCTTTAAAAATATCTTAAACCATTCATATTTTTATATAAATAAAATAACTGAAATTATATATAAATTGAAATGCCTCAAAATATATTATAGAGATCAAATATACTTTAATAAATTTAGTGAAGAAACATAAATATATACTGTATTCTATATTTATTATGTGCATATAGTAGATAGGTAAATAGATTATATAAATAACATTGCCTCCACCCACTAAAATAGTCCATTAGACTTAAGTATATTTTGGGCATTTTAATAAAACTTTGGTTGAAAAGAATCTCATGAACTAAGCTTTCTCCAAATAAACATACTGTAAATAAATAATATTCCTTTCAAAAGCAAACACCGCTGTTCTACTTACATAGCTAACTCCTGATGAAAAGCAGCAATTTATTAAGGTATTTCATTGTATTTTTTTAATAACTGCTAGTTATCATCTACCTAAATATATGTGTACATATGTATTTCCTAGACTTAATAGATGTAAAACTAAAATTTTATGAAGCCTTGAAAATAATTCCTATATTTTATACTTGGAAAAGGCCAGCTCTTCACTAAAAATGACAGATAGGGTGGAGTCTTGAGAAAACAAATGGCAGCTGCTTGAGTCCGAGGCAGGCCCCAGCTGCGGCCTGTCGGCGTCCGGCTAGCTTGGGCAATTGCTTGGTAGGCAGCGGCCCTGTAAGTGGTTTCGGCAAGATGGTCCTCATTCCAAGGCTTTGTGAGGGGGGCCAGTGCCAGTGGGTAGGAAAAGTAACTCTGAAGGGTAGTTCAGCGTTAGATTTAAAATACGTGTAAAGAAAAATCTCTTAGCAGATACGCTCTTAGCAAGTAATAGCCAAACTGATATTTTGGCAGAGTACGAATTTTATTTATATTATGCTGGATACCATACGTTTAGTTCTAATTTTTTAAAAATTTCAAGAAAAATACGATAATTCTTATGATTTTATAATTAATTTTTTGAAGGTTAAGTAATTTGGTGACATTTCCCCAACTAGTAAGAATTTTTTTTTACTCTAGGTCTTCCAGGATCCAAAGTTTACCCTTTTTACGTCCCAGCTGGAGGACTCTTGGCAATGTTCTGTTGTTGTCAATAGTAAAATTTTGTCCATTAGTTTTGACATTAAATGTATTTTATGAGAATAGGTCATTAACATAAATCATTTATGTCGGTTCTCAATTACCAGAATCTTTGAACACCCAAGAACACCCTGTATCTGACTGAGCCAGTTAACTGCGTCATTATTTCAATTCCAGGAAGTCTGACCTATTGTAAATAATCATGACTTTTTCTAGTATTTCTAGGATTCATCACAGTTCCAGCAACTGTTGAGTTTAATTTTTCTTTCCTCTTAACTTTTCTGAAGGGTCATAGTGTTTTAATCATTAGAGTTTGTGTTATCTCCAGGTACTCAGTGAAACATAATGGAGAACATAATGCTACTAGAATTGGTCCTTATAAGTTATAACGACAACTTCATCATATTTTTTCCAAAGCTTATTTAGAAATTTAAAATTGTACTTCTTCATATTCAGCCAAATGTTTATTTCTGAGACTTTATCTAAATGTTTTTCCCTGAGGCCATTGCTGTTTTGAAGCTATTTTAACAGCCCTCACTGGAGTGTGGGGAAAATGCTCTGATTACTTTGCTAAAAAGAAGGGTTTCATGTAAATTGAATTTTTCTTTTAGGATAATTACTGTTCCCTTTTGTTTTATATGCAACTGAGTGGGGTATTGCGGTATCCTCTGTGGACAATTAAAGTGCTGAAATAGGAGAAAGCTGCTAATTGCTTGGTGTGGTCATACTGACAGCTTGTGCGTGTTTGTCAATCTGTGTTAACAGTATCGATCAGGATGGGATCCTCATAGAGGGGCAGATAATGTTTCCACTAAATCCTCGGACAGTGATGTAAGTGACATTTCTGCGGTTTCCAGGACTAGTAGTGCTTCTCGTTTCAGCAGCACAAGCTACATGTCGGTCCAATCGGAAAGGCCACGAGGAAACAAGAAAATGAGGTGAGCGGGGGGCTAGGAGGTGTGCACTTCTCAGTGTCCTGTAGGTCTCCTTTTTTCTCTGAATGAACATAAAATCCTTTATTTCTAAAAGATAACTGTGTGGCATTAAGGCGGTATGCACTTCTGTTCATATCACTTTTTATTTTATTTTGGTCCACATTTCAGGTTCTTACACAGAAAAGTTTTTATACAACTGAGGACAATTTTATGCAGTATGTTATTTAAAATAATATTATTTTATATTGGAATATAAAAATTAAACTGCTAAGTATCATTTTATACTAAAATTAAAGTGATGGTTTACTGAAAATATATATTTTTAGTGTTTCAAGGAATATGAGAAATAATAGTTTGGAGGGTTCCTTCCTAGCTGAATAGATTCCAATGATTCAAGAAACAAAAACCTTACTCTTTTAGAATGATATTCTCCCATCTTCCTGAGCTTTTTATAAATATGTGCCAAACTTCATCTTGTCAAGAAAATTTATGTATGTAAAGTATATTTTGCATGTGCTAGAGATTTTAAGTGTACTTAAGCCCTATTATTTGTTTTTACTCCTAATGGAGTAGGTGGAGATATTACAGCTTTTGCTTGTTTTCCCTTGTAATTTTGTCATATTTATATATAGGAAAATATTATTTTAAAAGCTAGTAAAATTAAATATCGACTACCCAGCACTTCTCTGATATAAAAAGGAAAAAGTTTACTAAAAGATGTAATTTATACTGTTTTGATAGTTTTCATTGCATTTCTGTTTAATTTCATATGCATTTTTTCTTGACTTGTTTTTCTTTCTTTCTTTCTCTTTTTGTGTTTATCTGCATGCCTCCTATTTATGTTGCCTTCCCAAGACCAAAGGGGATAGAAGAGGGAGGGCAAGAAGGGGGTAAGAAGGAAGAGATAGCTCATGAGGAGGAGGGAGGAAAGGAAGAAAGAGCTGAGGAGAATGGGGAAGGGAAAGAGATTGCAGAAACATGTATTGAGGAGAGAAACAGAGAATCAGGAGACGAGGAACAGGTCCAAGACACACCCGAGCAAGGGAAAGGCAAAGAAGTGTGGAATAAGGAGGATTTGCAAAGGAGATCCCCACAAGATGACAACAGGTAACATGCGCTTATCTTTGGAGTCACTTCCCATTAGCGATGTAGTCTTTTACCATTCCTAACAATTATTTTGCCATTTATGTTAGCTTTATTTTCTTGTGTTTTATCTGTTTACTTTCTAATATACTGACTGGAATACTGAAAAATTATCAAACAGATTGATTTACTAGATGACCTTTAATTCATATTTACTAGCTTTGAGAATCTGATTTAGTTTTTGGTTTTTTCTCTTTTTTATAACTACCTGAATCAGCTTTAAATTTTCTTTTAGGTCTTTTAGCACTAAGTGTTTATAGCTTTCCCAACCAGACAGTCTACAGATGAGTGAAAAGAGAAACTTTTCACCAATAGCAGAGATTGCTTCAAAGCAAAAGAAAGCAAACCCCTTAAAATGAGATTTGAAGGGGCTGAAAAGATGCAGCCCACTTCCTAGAAAGTCCTGTGTACTGGAAACCAACTTCAAAAATAAGTGGCAAAATAGCAGAAAGTAGGCTTTACTCTGTGGTTAGCTCCCCTGCCTTCTTTTAGTTTTCTTATGTGCTGTAGCAAGTTTATAAAGCAGGGATGATGTTCTATGTTAAAAAAAAAATTAGAAGATCAGGTCTTATTGAAGGTGCATATGTTGGGTTCTACCCTTTTAAAAATTCACTCAGTTACAGAAACTCAGAGAAGGAACTTTGTGATTTGAGTCTGAATAACTTCAAGTTAGTTTATGTGACATATGTAGCTTGATAATGACATTGGCTTTTTTTTTTTTTTTTTAATATTTTGGCCAGGCGTGGTGACGCACACTTGGAACCCCAGCACTCGGGAGGCTGAGGCAGGAGAATTGTTGCAAGCTTGAGACCAGCCTGGGCTACACAGTAAGCTCAAGGCCAGCCTGAACTGCATAGTGAGACCTCGTCTCAAAAAGACAAAATTTAAAAAATTTTTTCATTACTAGTTTAAAATTCATAATGATTACATTCTTCATGAGGAATTAGTGTGTGCACACAACACATCTTAATTCCATTGATGTGCCCTTCCTTTCCTTCCCCTGGTTCCAAGATATACTTTCTAATTTATTTACTGAGCATAGGACCATTTCATTATTAATTCATAGAGAAAAGCTTTCCAAAGCTCCCTCAGACAGGAATGCAGATTTCCTTCCTTCCAAGAGTGGAGCAAGGATGAGTTCTTAGTGTGTTTTTTCTTCTGTGTGTTGCACAGAAAAGAGCACAGGACTGAAACCCCCTCCTGGAGTGCGTGGCTCAGCAGGCAAAGAGGGCGCAGGTCGTGACCTTTCAGTTATTTATTTTTTTAATATTACTGTCTTTATCATTTTCTTCATGAGAAAAGTACATTGTATTATAAGGGGGATGGTGATATATTTTAGCATGTAATTCATCAGGACATTACACTCAAGTAGCTATATTATTTCTGGGCCTATAAACTATAGAGAATGAGGCTGATCTCACTCAGGAATATATATCTTATAATATGGCATGAAATATCAACTAAGAAAATGTTGGTGTCACTTGTTCATTATTATTGCAAAGGGTCTTGAATTTGCTTTCATATTTTAGAATAGTTCTGACAATCTTTATTAGGAAGAATATCAGTGTTCCTAGGAACATATTATTTTGGTACTTGATAACCACAACTGTAAACTACTTGAATACGTGCACACAAAACCCAATTTAAGTGCACATACAACATTATTGGAAACACTCTGATTCTGGAATGCACTATATCTGTTGCTTGGAATTCTAACTTTATAAAGAAAAACATTCTGACTTAAAAACATTTACAAGAATGCTAGTACTTACCACAGTGACCACAGTGAACAAGACCCATTCTAATTTTTTTTTTTTTACAGTAACTAGGTATCACCACACAGTATGTACCTCACTGCGCGGTCAGGTTGCTCATTTACAGTAAGTCACACAGAAGTGAGTCTACTGAATGGACAAGTGGAAAACAAACAGCGAGAAGTACGTTCAGGACTGGCCACTAAGTGTTCAGTTTATGCTAGGTTGATTAATAAGTAATGCATTCACACTCAGCTCTTTCTTTACATACAAATGTGTAGATCTGGTAAAATTATCCCATATCATTAATGATTCTGTCTGGTAAGCTAGAA